CCCGAAGAAGTGAGGTTTTTACTCATGAAAGCTTATGCCCTAATAAATCTGTTAGTCTTTAAGGTGCCACCAGACTCCTTGTTGTTGCTGAAGCAGGGAAAGGGTTTTAATGTGGCACCTGGGAGCAGTTGAGTTTCATGTTCAGGCTCTGGTATGAGTTCCTTCAGGTTTCTCGTAAACACACAAGGACCTTAGCAGGTGCTTTCGATACAGGAATGGCCCAGATAAGGTAAAGTGATGGGGATTGCATTTTCTCTTTTTATTTTTGTATTCCCAGTAACATTTCTGTTTGTGATTTCGTTTTGCTTTGTATAACTGTGTTTTCTCCTGGATTTGATATTTAACTAAAAAAAGAATAAGGCCTTAGGGCACTGGATGAAGGAGCAGGCTGGGACTAGGACTGCTAAGAGAGCTAGAGTAGCAGGTTTTCTGTATTGTTTCCTGCTCTCTTTTTCTTGACTAGTTTCTCTTCTGCACGAAATTTGCTTTTTTAAAATTTTGCATGTGAGCCTGGTTTAGTCAGTTGGTAAGCATCAGACTTTTAAGACTGCAAGAGTGGGTAGGTTGATGAGCTGGGCCTTCTAGCATTCAGTTGGGGATGAGGTGGGGAACGCAAACTGAGAGAAACAGTTGCTGGCCTGTGAGGAATGGCTTGGCCAGTGGCGTAAGTGGACCTTGTCATTACTTACAAGGTTGTAATGCTCAAGACATATCTTTTGGATGTGGCAAATTTCCTCAGCCATGTATATCCCCCTGCTCCATGAGTGCTGCTGAGACTGAATATGATGGCCTTCCACTTCTTGTGGGGCAATAGGATGTCCCTACCTTGTCAGGAGAAGTGTGGCTTTTCTGCCGTATTAGAAGGGGGGGGGGTTACACCTGGTGGGCTTTAAAGTCTTTTACGGCTCTACTTTTTTATTTTTCAATTTTCAGTGGGTGGCTGAGCTGGAGGGGAATGGCGGGGCAACCACAAAGAACACAAATAACTCTTTGGATATGTCCGTATTTTTTTTTTGATCGCACTGGGTGCAGTATCGGGTATGGGATGGCTGATGATGGTGGAAGGGGGAGGAGATTAGGAAGCCCCCCCAATGTTCTTCTACTCCCACTTTACATCCTACAGGATTTTCAGTGGGTGGCTAGGTGGAAGGTGCTTATAGGATGGCTTCTTCTGCAACAGTGGCCGCCTTCACCACAGCGGTGGCCACAGCAGCGAGGCCCCTCCTTCAGCTCAGTCTGAACAGAGGTCAATGTACCACTGGGTGAGACACGCCAGTTTTAGGGAACTTCCTCTGAAGGTGAGCAACTGTCCCTAGAACTTACTGACAGGAGGTTTAAAGTATTTGCAAATGTGCACAACCAGCATGTGCAGAGCAAAGGCTGCCCAGGGGCACTGTGTCAGGCTCTGGCACAGCTTGAGACAATGGACCACCTTCAGCCACCAGGTAACCGAGGATCTAAGGCAGGAATGGGGTGAGGAAGCAAGTCAAGCTGAGCAAGGCAGGCAAAAATTCATCTTGCCTAGGTGGGAGCTTGCAATGATGCCCTTTTTGTGTGCCATCGCTGACAAACACATCCCGGACAGAGAAGCAGCAGGCCAGAAAAGTGCTTTTTGGATCCTGAAGTAGCTCAGTCAGGAGAGCGTTAGACTGAGAATTTAGAGGTCCCTGGTTCAAACCCAGGCTTTGGCATGCTCTTTGGTCCCTTTATGTTCAGCAGTGGGCTGTTTTGTGGAAGCGCAGCAGTGCCTTTACCTGCCACGAGTCCCTCATTTCGGGCTCCCAAGTAAGAAAAGACAGTGTGGAATTGTGCACCGAGTTGGCCCACCTGACCTTTCTTTCTTCTCTTGCTCTTTCTCAGCAAGGAGAAGAAAAAGAAGCTCTCCTTCAAGCTGGAGTCAGAAGGGCGATATAAGGATGACTTCCTGAGCGCCGGCTCCAGTCCTTTGCTCTACCAGCTGACCTATCAAAGGGTTGCCATGACTTTCTCCAGGTTAGTCCATTGGTATGTTCAGAATGGAGAGAGGTAACTAGTGGTGTTCCCCAATGGTCAATCCTAGGACCAATCCTATTCAATTTATTCATAAATGATCTGGAGAAAGGGGTAAACAGTGAGGTGGCAAAGTTTGCAGATGATACTAAACTGCTTGAGATAGTTAAGACCAATGCAGACTGTGAAGAAGCACAAAACTAAGTTATTGAGCAACAAAATGGCAAATGAAATTTAATGTGGATAAATGTAAAGTAATGCACAGTGGAAAAAATAACCCCAACTATGCATACAATAGGATGGGGGCTAATTTAGCTACAACTAATCAGGAAAGAGATCTTGGAGTCATTGTAGATAGTTCTCTGAAGATGACCAAGCAGTGTGCAGCGGCAGTCAAAAAAAAACCAAACAGAATGTTAGGAATCATTAAAAAGAGGATAGAGAATAAGATGAAGAATATCTTATTGACCTTATATAAATCCATGGTACACCCACATCTTGAATTCTGGGTACAGCTGTGGTCCCCTCATTTCAAAAAAGATATATTTGCATTAGAAAAGGTTCAGAGAAGGGCAGCTAAAATTATTAGAGTTTGGAATTGGTCCCATATGAGGAGAAATTAAAGAGGCTAGGATTTTTCAGCTTGGAAAAGAGGAGACTAAGGGGGGATATGATAGAGGTATATAAAAGAATGAGTGGTGTGGGGAAAGTGAACAAGGAAAAGTTATTTACTTGTTCCCATAATATAAGAAGTAGGGGCCACCAAATGAAATTAATGGGCAGCAGGTTTAAAACAAATAAAAGGAGGTTCTTATTCACAGAGCATTAATTTATCTGCAAAAAGAAAGAGGAGTACTTGTGGTACTTGGGCGCTTGTGGCACCTTAGATACTAACAAATTTATTTGAGCATAAGCAGGGACCAACCCTAGCTCCTGCCCCACTGTGCTTTTGCCCACAGCCCTTTTACAATCATTCCCTGGGGGGCCCCACAAAAATGTTTGACACTGGGCCAGCAAAAATTTAATCCAACCCTCAAGGTTAAGGGTCTATTACAGGAGTGGGTGGGTGGGGTCTTTTGGCCTGCAAGGGTGCAGCAGGTCGGACTAGATGATCACACTGGTCCATTCTGACCTTAAAGTCTCTGAGTCTAAAAGGGAGAGGGAAGTAAAAGAAATTTTTTTTTAAATAAACCAAACGTTGGAATACAAAGATGACTTCAACAGCTCACTGTATAGTCGCTCCCCTTTCTTCCTCCACTGTGTATTTAATGACCTACTGGGATTAGGGACATTGATTCTCTCATTCCATTGATAAACTGGTACAATGTGACTGAAATTAAACCAATTCCCAGCAGAGAAAACATCACATCACTGCATTGGCTGGGAATTGAAGCCAGGTCAACTGCTTAGAAGGCAGCTATGCACACCACTATACCACCAATACTTCTGGCAAAAGTTCCTCTCCTATATGCCACTTATGCTTGCCAAATGACTCACCCCCCCCACACACACACACAGAGCTAAGGAGCTGGCTGGAGAGGCTGGAGGCAGCCTGTCAGCTGTGAGCAGAGCTAAGCTCCCAGAGTGACTGACAGATGGGGATATGGGCTCTACATCCCAGCCTGAGGTAGCACCAATCCCATTTATGCTCTCAGAGAAGGGAAATGAAAACCAATGACCATAATGACAAACTTTACCCCAGAAGGAAGGAGACAGCTCCTTTTAAAGCACATTCTGTGTTGGTTCCTGCTATGTACAGATGGTTTTATTGCTGTTGATGCCAATCCTTGGGCTCTGCCCGGATAAGGAACGATTCAGGCTGTCACTCAAGTGAAGAAGGGAGATTATTTTTTTGACAGGGACGGCTGCCTCATTTTAAGGGTGTTTGTCTGTCACCTTTTAATCTAGTGGGTCCTTGGTACATGCAGGCAGGCCCCGCTCCTGGGTCTTTCCCGAGGAAATAAAGTTTCTACACAAAATCCCAAAGCTTTTCACTGAAAGGAGGGAAAGGAAATGGCCACAAGATGGAGCGAGGACATAAGGAATGTAACACAACCCCGTTCTTAGGGGTAAGCCATTATTTTTTGTCAGGGTCCAAAATTATTAGTCAAGATCTAGTCAAGGTCCAGACTCCAGCATAAATAATAAAAAATAACAATAATGATGATAATAAGTAAATAAAAAGATTTTGGGGTCCATTCAAAAGCGATGTGGTCCGCTGTCTGCCTATTGATTACCCCACATTGACTCTGAGAGGTGATTTATCTCCCTGCGCTTGGATTTGAAGAGCTGGTTAGTTTTACCCTTGGTATCCCACCAGGCTGAACAAGCCATGTTATCGATGATGACACTAGGATCGAAGGATTATATCGTATTATAAAAAACTGTAAATAAAAATGTCGTCTGAACGTGAGCGTTCTGTAATGAAAGGCTGGTTCCCCCAGTGGAGTTCCAAATGCTCTGCTAGAAATGCCCTCTGGGACTTCAGCACTCCCCAGCAGGAGTGAAAGGAGAAGCCCCCAGCACTGCACTTAGCTCCAGGCTGAATCATCGGGGGCGGGGAATTGACTTCTTTGCTGCTGAGAACAGAGCCAGGACAGTTCTCTGGGAATGAAGGTTCCCAGCCTGACCCAGCTGCTTCATTGCCCTTGGGGCCCTGCAGGTTTAGACTGTCCCTGAGTCCAGGCAGCTGCTCAGTGAGCTCTTCTGGTGTAACTGGTAGTGCAGGAATATCCCACTCTAAGGGCCTGAGTTCAGCCATCAGGAAAGGCAGCAGCTTTGCTCCCTCCTTCTAAACAGAGCTCCAAGGCCGTGGTTCTGAACCGGGGGGGGGACGAGGAAGATTTGGGGGTCCGCCAAAATAAACCAGAAAGCAGGGCCGGCATTAGACTCACTGGGGCTCAGGGCAGAAATCTGAGCTTGGGAATAAAGGCAGCTCTGGGCTTTCCCTCTCTCCCTTCCTGAGAATAAAAGTCATGAAGCCTCTTGGGTCTGAATTAATGTCCCATTTCGCACTATTAGGGTTACCATACGTCCGGATTTCCCCGGACATGTCCTCCTTTTGTGTGCTAAAAATAGCGTCCGGGGG